GTACACTTAGTGTTTTGATTATTATGTTATGGAGAATTTTTTTGGTCCTGTTTATTTGGTGTTCTGTATGCCTCTTGAACCTTAGTAGGCATCTCTTCCTTTAGAGAGGATTCTTCTATAATTGTGTTAAAAATATTTTCTGTGCTTTTGACTTGATTTTCTTCTTCATCTACACCTGTCATCCATAGGTTTTTTTGTTTGTTTTTGTTTTTATTAGTGTCTAAGAATTCCTAGATGCTTTTACCTGGGTTTTATTTTTAGATTTATTATTTTCTTTGACCAAGCTATCCATTTCTTCTACCTTATCTTCAATACTTTTAAGATTCTCTTCCATGCCTCTTAACTTGTTGGTGAGGCTTATTTATGAGACTTTTGTTTGACTTCTGAGTTGTTCAAGTGTTATTCCACTTTGGCTTTTTTTTTTCTATTTCTTTGTTAAGTTCTGCTTTCATATCTGAGTTATTTTCCTTATTTCATTCAACTGTTTGTGCTTCCACAGTCTTCATTGAGGTGTTTAAATCCTCTTTAAGGCCTTTGAACATATTCATAATTGTTATTTTGGAGTCCCTGTTTTATACTTCAGCCAAATTGCTTTTCTTAGGACATCTTAAAATAGGGTTACTTATTTCTGGGGGAATCACATTGCCATAGTTGTCCCTTTTTTTGTGCAGGAATCTAAACATCTGGAGTTTTAGCATTTTTGATGTTTGTTGGAGTAGATGTCTGGTCTTGCCTTTGTTGGGTGGGAGCTTGGTCCTTGGTTGCTGTTGCCCTAATCTGACAGGTTGTGGATCAGAAGAATAACACTCAGTTTTCCTTCTTGGAGTCACTCTCTATCCCGGTTTCAGACTCCAGCTCATCTCAGATCTGAATTAGAATTTTCTTAAACAGGACTTGGAGTCTGGCTCCACAAAGGGCAGCAGAGGCAGAACCAGGGTTACCCAGGCTCTAGCCACAGATGACAGAGAGTGCAAAGAGGTTGGAGGTAGGTTAGGAGGAGAGACTGAGGTGATCAGGCAGTGTCATTCTAAGAGTGCTCTGCGGAGTCCAGAATAGTAGATGAAAAGGGCACAGGCAACCTGCCCGACAGTCAAGTGTGGCAGCTGTTGGATCTCCATTAGAGAGGGGTTCTGTGGGTCAGTGGGGATTCACTATGGCATAAAGATGGGATGAGTGGAATGGCTGAGGAGGTCTGTGTGGAAGAACTAGAGGTTCCCTGAGTCTCCACTCTGAGACTAAGTCCAAAGGGGAAGGAGTGGACTGGGAGGAGTTTCCCAGGGTTGTGCAGGAGGTGTGGGGCATAGCAGGTTTATGAGTACTCTGGAGAATTCAGAATGAAGGAGAGGAAGGAGAGCACAGTGAGACTCCCTGAAATCCAAGTGGGGTCCCTGGTGGAGAATGGTTCTGTGGATCTTTAGGGAGACACAAAGGAATGGAGATGAGGAGAAGGAATGGCTGAAGGGTTGGTGAAGAAAGGAAGAACTAGCAGGATGCTAGAATAAGTTCCTACAAGTAGAACTGTGAAGCCAAAGGTAGGATTCTTTAAAATATGAGTACTCTTTCTAAATTGCCACCACAAACAAAGAGCATTTTATATACTATAGTAAGCATGGCAGGAATGTTCTCTGTCATAACTCCCTGGGGGGTATCACTTTTTTCCATGCTGAGGATTAGAGTTAGGACATCTTATATTAAACTGTAGGAAATACTTGACTACTGATCTATTCCGCAATGAATATTTTAAGTTTTATTAACTAGAAGCCTATACTAACTATAACTTATAAGTCATAAGCTATAACACAGTGGCATGAACCTATTGTTTTAGCCTCAGCTACTTGGGAGGCTGACATATGAGAATTACTTGAAGCCAGGTGTTAGGAGCAACATAGAGAAATCAGAGTTCTTCTTAAAAATTTTTTTTAAAAAGCAGATTTGAAAAACAATTTTAAATGAAAAAAATCTATTTTCAATGAAAATAAAGAAAATCAATTTTAAAAAGTAATGATTGTTTATTTGTATAGTACATTATTTGTATGTTTTTAATATATTTCAATATTTCTTCTCCTATTAGTTATCCTATATAGAGTCTTTCCCAATTTTCCCATTACACAAGTTGTTTATTATTTATGTATTTTGCTGTGCAGCAGATGACCAGATGCTTCTACATGGTAGACAGTCAGTCCCTTTATCAGAGCTACATTCCTACTATGTGATGATATTTTAAGATGTTCACTTTGTATGTATCTGGTGCCCAAGCACATAATTTGAAAGCTGGTGGGGCCAAACTGAAGTCAACTTCAAGCCCCTGGAAGCAGCATGTCCATGCTTCACCTTGAGTTCCGACACCTTGCTTCCTTATTCCTAGACTTCTGTGACTTTGGCTTCTGTGACTCAAGGCTGCTGTCCTGCTCACCTCCAGATGCCGGAAAAGCTACTTTCCTGGCTTTGCTTTCACCCACTTTGCTACATGTACAATACAGACTTCATATCTCATTTTCCAAATCTCATGATAAAAACATTAGCATGTTTACAATTCAATTACTAAAGACCTAAATGATAATATGTCATCAAGCATCAAGATAAGAGCTTTTCTGAAACTTGTTAAATCTTTTCTTTCTTAACCTTAAAGGAAGGGTAAGAATTAGTTAAAAGTTGTAATGAGCCGGGCGGTGGTGGCACACGCCTTTAATCCCAGCACTCGGGAGGCAGAGGCAGGCGGATCTCTGTGAGTTCGAGGCCAGCCTGGGCTACCAAGTGAGTCCCAGGAAAGGCGCAAAACTACACAGAGAAACCCTGTCTCGAAAAACAAAAACAAAAACAAAACAAAAAAAAAAAGTTGTAATGAACTCTCTCTCTCTCTCTCTCTCTCTCTCTCTCTCTCTCTCTCTCTCTCTGGTTTGTTGAGACAGGGTTTCTCTGTGTAACAGCCTTGGCTATCCTGGATGGAACTTATGTTGTAGACCAGGCTGGCCTCAAACTCACAGAGATCTGCCTGCCTCTGCCTCCCAAGTGCTGGAATTAAAGGAATGCATTACCATCGCCCAGTGACACCTGAACTCTTATTGGGAATTTCAAATATGCATGTAGTGTTTTGAATAAATCCAACCTTCCTTATTGCCTTACCACCACTTTCTCCTCACAAGTGTATGTTGTTTTAAACACTCTGAGTGCACTTAGAGCTGCCAGCATGTGCGTGGATGTAGCACCACCCATCAGAAGATGTGTAGCCTAGCAGGGGTTGCAACCCTGAAGAAAATGAACACTTTCCCTCCCCTAGCAGCCATTAATTGCCAATAGCTTCTCAGCTAGTGGTGAGACTTCATGACCTTCTTCCCCTACCCATGCTGGGATTGTGACTGGTTTTATCTTGTACAAGTTCTGTATATACATGGCTGCTGTGAGCTCATGCATGCAATAACCATGTCAAGAAAATAGTTCCATATATACAGTCATGGCTGCTGTGAGGCTCCTGTGTGCAATGACCCCTTCATGTAAAGAAAACACTGTTTTACAGCTGTCTTCCACAAGGTTGTTTTTAAGGCTTGTTTCATAAGATGAAACTCATCCCCAGTACTGTAAACTGGGCAAGAACATGAGGTGGGTAGGTAATAGGCCCAAGGGCAGAACCTACTGCTGTTATTCTATTAAATAGTATTAAACTGTCTCCTAAGCACTTACTTTTATACCCAGAGATTGGTGCCTGTTTCAGCCCTCATCAGAGAAGGTGGTGATTACTATAGAGTCAGAATCAGTCACTGTGCAGAGAATGAGGAACTGTAGAGAGAGTAACAGTAGACTGTGATAAAGAAGTAGTGGGGACATTTTTTAAGTCCTTATATATTCTGAACATTATTCTCTCATCAGGTGAATATTTGGCAAAGACTTTGTTCCCTTTTAGGTTGCCTAATCATTCCAATGTTCTCGTCTGTGTAGAGGGTTATAGACAGCATACAATTCCACTTGTCATTTCTTGCTACTGGAGTGTTATTCAGAAAATCCCCAATTATCTTGAAATATTTTCCCACATAAGGAATTTTTAAGCCACTGCTATCCAGAGCCTAACCCAAGAGCTTAGGAATTTGAAGGTGGATCAAAGGCATTAGCCTGTTTAAATGGTGTCTAGGTGATCATATCATACTGTCACACAGGTCTGCAAACTTTTGCCTTAACTAAATGATTTCTAATGTTAGCAATGAGGAGCCAGTACCTCATATGGAGCAGGTAATACATTTGTGTCATCTATGGCACACCATTCTTCAAGAAAGAGTTTATGCTGGGCGGTGGTGGCGCACGCCTTTAATCCCAGCACTCGGGAGGCAGAGGCAGATGGATCTCTGTGAGTTCGAGGCCAGCCTGGGCTACAGAGTGAGTTCCAGGACAGGAGAAAAACGACACAGAGAAACCCTGTCTCAAAAAACCAAAAAAAAAAAAAAAAAAAAAAGACTTTATCTCTGAAGTCACAACAATAAATGACACAACCAGGGGTTTCCAGTTAGCTCTCCCTGACGAAGCCTTTCCTACTCTTGATATTCTTCTGAGGAGCAGCAGCCTGATCAAGGACAGTTAAGACTGTGCTGTGGGCCTGCTAAGTCACATTCTTCATTTTAACACTATGCCCTGAACAAAGTTTGAGAAGCCCTTAATTATCACACACTGGTGCTCTCTACATATTCCACCCAGAAAAACCATGAATCCAAACAAGTAATGTTGAAGAGCCAAGAGCAGTGTTCATTGTAAGCAATCCTTTAGCTGAGGCCAATTGCTTTTATATAGTGTTTGGTAAATTGTAAATTAGTTCTTTATCGCCTAAAAAAGCTGATAAACTTATAAAAAATGTGATCTCTGGAAAGTTTTACTTGTGACATCACATTTGAAAGTTTCTTAGGATTTTCTTTAGGGTTTTTGATGACTAGAATCTAGAAGTATCAATATCCTGTTGGAATAACCTTTTATCTGATCAGAAAATCAAAATCATGAATACTGAATACACATAGTCCTAGTCCAGAACCAATTTAAGGATCTTTATTTACAAGATACAAATGTTTCATATTTAACAAGAATTGAAGGGTTTAATTTTACAATGTTTTCAATTACCTGACTTTATGATCAAATATACAGATGTTACACTATATATACACTATGTCCAAGTATTTTACATTCATACCACTGGAAAATTGGGTGTTTATTTTTTCACATTAGAGTCAACTATAATATTCTGATATGCCCTTTCAAACTCAGTCAACATGTCAAAAGAAAAATCAAGATAATACTTATTTTTAAATAACAGTTAATTGTCTCTTAAAAGATGAAATACCAGTTTGGTTTTATATGTGAATGATTATATGCTAATGGTACCTATGATACATTTGAGTTTTCATAAACCATAATACACAATGCAATTCTGTCATCACAATGGGCTCTATGGCCTGTTTGTCCCCAAACATGTCTTTACTTTGTATTTAGCATTCACTTATTAAAATATATTAAAATATGACTTAATATTTTATTAAATTGACCAAAATGAATTTCAGGACAAAGGAAAACCTTCTTGCAACTTTCAGGGATGCTCCCCCAACAAATTAACTGTCTTGTAGAAGCCATGTTTTATTTTATCTTGAAATACATAAAAGACACAGCATTTGGCCATGCCCTTAGCTTAGAGAGTTGAATTTAGAGCCAAAACCAGCAGAAAATCATTTATAGAATGAAATTATTTTTTAAAAGCTTAAAGGAAAAAGAAAGTAATAATAAGATAGTGTCATCTACAATTTAGAGGCTAAGGCCAAAGCCTGGGTACAAGGATTCCATCAACAACCAAGTACATGGATAGCTTCTACTTGATTTCCAGTGCGCAGCTCAGTGTTTTGCTGTGTTGCTCTTCCCTGGAGACCAGCAGCCCGTTTACCCATATCTATTCATTTCTGTTGTTTCTGCTGCTAACCACATTCTTCTCTCTACACCTGCAACAAAAGCAACATTGTCTCTTCCTGTAACCTGGGAAGATTGAAGGGCATGTGTAAAGAAGAATTATAACATTGAATACCTGTGAATAATTTTTGTTAAAACACTTAAATTAAAATTTACATAACATTTTGTTCCTTTGGTGAGAATTGAAGAGTAATATTTTTTACATTTATACATATAAAGTCACAGATAGGTCTTTTAGATAGATCAAGTGGTCTAATACTCATTTTTTTTTAAATCTAGGGAACCTATAGCTTAGTAGTTATATTAAAATAAAAAGTAATTTGATTCTAATGGAACTAAGAGTGAAGAAGTTACAGAATCCACTATCGATATCAACATAATTCTAACAAGAGGAACTCTTTAGCCATAGTTCATACATTCATACACTTGAAGAACACAACATTAAAGAAAATACAAAGATTTTCTTGTTTTTCAGATTTTAGATTATAAATACCATGTGCTTATCTTCGATCTATTAACAGGAATATCATGTGATGTAAGAAAGTAAAGTTACTTTCTACTCTGTATAAACACCAGAGATAACTGCCGGAACAAGACCTGTGTTTCCTAGACAGTTATTTGCTCTTATTTCTGCCCATTTGCTATGACAACACCTGCAGAGAGCTCCTGATTAACAATGCATTGCAGACAAAAAGCTCTGAATAACTTAAGGCTTTGGAGATAAACAAATGATAATTGAAAATAATTGAAGGAGAAAAACCATTTCTATCTCAACAAGGAGGAGAAGGAAAAACAGAATCATGAACCCCAGAAGTATTTTTGGGAAAAGGCTTTTAGAAGGATCAATGACTCTTCAATAACCCTGAAGTACCGCAGAATTTACAGTTTTTTTTTAAACAGTTGTGACTGCAACAAATACTCTGTTTAGAAAATTCCACAGGAAACATTTACAAGGTTAATTTTTATAATTAAAAATAATTGGTGTAGTTTACCCAATGAAAATAGTACATATTCTTTGCAAAACTAAGACACAGTTGATAGTATCTGAAACCATGGAACAATGGCTTCCGCTCCCTTCTTTCCCCGTGCTCAGCAATTTCAATTACCATGTCACTGCTAGGAAGCTGATTCTCTATATGCTGTGGCTTAGGGCCTTACACTTTCAGCATAAACTCATACCTGGAGAGTTTTATTGCTTGCCATTATTACAAAAGTGGCTAGTGGTATTTTTCATTATTGAATTCCATTAAAAAAAACTCAAGATAAAGTATGCACCACATCTCACTTTTACCAAATGGTAGACTTCCAACAAAAGCAGTGTTTAAGTTAAAAAGTGGAATGCTTTGAATGAGTAATGGTTTTACTAAATAAATACTTTCTTAAGTTTGCAAGGACACTTCTCTTGAAGATGACTTTTGAAAGCATTGAATTAGAAAAAACAACAAATTAAGAACCACATAGAACATTTATTTGAATAGGAAAGTAACTTACATTTTCAGGTTCAATTTATCATGAAACCTCAGTTATCTCAGAAGAGGTTAACTATTCTAATTACCTCTTGGATTAGAGTTTATTTAAATTAATTTTTGAATATGTGTATAAGCACACGTTATCCATGCATATGTTCACATATACTTAGGTAGTTGAGCATATGTGTAGAGATCTGAGTTTCATGTCAAGTGACTTCCTTGGTACCTCTCTACCTCACTGAGGCAAGGTGACTTGCTGCACCTGTACTCGCTGCTTTGGCTCATCTGGCTAGCGAACCTGCACCAGGGTCTCCTGTCCTTGCCTCTGCTGTGCTGAGCCATGCTCATCTGGCCTTTGTGTGGGTTCTGGAGATCTGACTGAACTCTGTTTCTCATCCTTGCATAGAAGTCTCCTTAGCCCCAGAGCTGAGTTTTTAATAAGTAACTAATATTACTATTCTATTACTTTTCTTAATTCTCCTACTGAAAATATTAGTGATTCTTTTGAGAGTGAGATGGGGACAGCTGCTCACTGTGCTTGGCTAAGAGTATGGTGAGGGTGGTAAAGGTGGCAACCGGAATGGCCACAGATCCTCTTCTGGCACTAACATTCCTTATTTAATGAACAATAAGAGCATGCTAACATCCTTTTTATGAGTATTCTTTCAATAATCTAAGTTAAACAACACTGAATATCTATCCACATTACTTCTATTCAAGAATTTGCTGGTAGGCAAACATGTAGTCTTCTTGCTGATCAAATATTTTTTAATAATCTGACATAAATCTTCTAAGTGGAATATCTCATTCATTATTCTATTTATATTTACAAAATATTTATCTTTATTTTGATAGTCATTCTACATTTTACTGCTTCTCTTTTCTTGAGATATGAAAAGTAAAGTAACAAGTCTAGCTACTGTTTAATTTTGTCCACAGGTACCCTGCACACCTATCTCTCCCACCCAAACGCAGCATCAATGCAGACAACTAGAAAAGAAAAACAATGTACAATTTCTTTCTTTTTTCTTTTTTTTCGGCCCTCATTTAGTAGGGAATAAGACGTTGGCTTTTTGTTTCTCCCACTGGTGGCTCTGAGTAGATGATTTAATGTTAGTGATCATGTCTGGGATTTCATGGACAAAGGGAACCTGGTTGGTTCCTTTGCTCCTTTGAAGTAGGAAAAACAAGAGACATTACTTATGCAGCATGAGCTGTATAAACAAACGTGTGGTGGTCTCAAATTCTGAGTAACCATACTTACATCTCAAGTGTAGCCCTTAAAGACTGTGTGTAGTGGAGACATTCTTATCGATTCCTAGTAAACAGTACCGTAAAAGTGGTAATGCTTGGAGTATGGGAAAGTGAGAAAAAACCCTCTGAGAAAAGTATTAAAAGTTAAATAGTCAATTCAACATGACATTTTAGTTACAAACTAATGAAGAGCAGACTTTATATTTATAATAGACAGCCATAGTTCATCTGAGATTCCATGTGGGATAAAAAAAGGAGAATAATTCTGTACTTTCTTCAATGTTTTGCATCTCCTGGAAACCTGCCATTATTGATTCTGCAATACTGATTTCGGCTTTCTTTTCTAGTGCATGATTAAGCATAAATTTCCTCTACTATATATCTAGTAACTCCTTTTCCCAAGTAAGTTGGAACATGTATAAGCTTTTGTAGCTGATAAAAGGAAAGCTCACACAGTTATCTTAAGTGTTCATTATTACCATTCACAATAGTCTTATGGAAAGGAAAACATTAAACATTAAACAAATGTTTCCCACATATCCCAGGTCTGTATAAAGTTAGATGTCTTATATAGTTCAAGTTTTAGTGAAAGTTTTTGTATACACTGACATTAAATTACTAAGACAATTATGTTATTGTAAAATGTAAAATAATCCATACAATTTTTTATCTCAGTGACCAAAGTGCACTTAAGTTGAGAATAATCAGAGTAGGTAAAATAATAATGTTTAGTTAACATTAACTAAACCCTCATCTTTTATCTAAATAAGTATTAATAGCACCTTCTAAGAGAGGCACTGTTTTAAATAGGTATAGAACAAAAAAAAAATAGCACTCTAAAAATACTGTTGGAATTCAAACTATATCCTACACCACATAAATTACTGCTTTTTTTACTATAAAAATATGAATACATTTAGATTCCAATCAGTTAAACATAAATTACCCAAAATTTTTATTAAGTTTAGAACAGTGCTGAGTTCAGAGATAAAATAGGTTTTATATTTAAAAAATGAACCAGAGTAAAAACAAAACTAAAGCTGAAGAGAGAAGCTCACATGTTCATACTTATTTCAATACTATATACAAGTACATTGATTGATATTTTAGATATTTTATTATTAGGAGTAATTCTACAAAAACAAGTATTATCTTAAGTCGAAAAGTATGAACACCAGCAACCTATATTTCTTTGTGTTGTACAAGAACAGAAACCATGAATGTAGTATGAGACTAGACAAGTTCAGACAATACTCTCTAAACTGTCCCTGTACTTTTTTTTTTAATCATAGATCTATTTTGGTTACATGGAGGTATATCTTTCACACTGTTACAAGTGAACAAGACATTGAAGGATTTCTTAAATGAAAGGCCCATTATAACCAGGTAGTGATACAATCAATTGACATGGTTACCCACCCCGTCAAGGCCAACGTACATAGTTAAGGAATAGCTTATCAAAAATGTTTCACTTTCCACATTATTTCAGAACTTCAACAGAAGAATGGCTCTGCACATTGATTTTACTAAGAGTATAAAACATATTTAAAAAGTCCCCAAAAGATGTATTTATGAAACCATATTTCTCAATGTAAAGTGCTAAGAGACGAGGAAGGAGAGTTGGGGATGTCTTGAGCTATTGGTCTTACTTGAGACTCCACACTGGCAGCTGCTGCAGTTTAGCATTCTGACTTTTTCTTGGGTCCAGGGAGATTGTTCAAGCTGGCTAGATGCTCCCTTGGGCCATCTGGCGTCTCACCTGTGACAGCTAGAAGGATGATTTTCAGCCATTTCTGTTTCAGTTCCTCGTTGTCTGCAGCAAAGCTGTGCACAGACTTGGACTGGGTCAGTTTGAAACTGTGTGGCAGATCTGCACTCTTTGGCATGTCATCCACAATGTAGCCCAGGAGTGGTATGGTCGCCTGGGCTTTGACATCCTAAGCAAAGGACATTGTGCATATGAGTGTAAGACATACTGTTACAGAGTTACATGTGGCCCTTGCCACTGCAAAACTCTCTTCTGACTACTGTCCCCCAGATCCTCACTCTAAGAACTCTCTTTGGACAGAGAGTAGATTTTAGTGTCTATGGGGTCAATGATAATGTTGACAAGATAAAATGAATAAAGTAGAGCTGACAGCCAGAGGAGCTAGGAAGGCAGCTCCCGGAGAAAGCAGCTCCCATGGGGAGCTCATTCAGAGCCTGTGCAGTTCTCCACTTAGAAGATGAAGAGGGAAGATGGAGGTAAATAACAGCGTCTTAATGTTTAAAGCCAGCACACATTACTAAGAATTAATAATGATATTATCTTTAATGATTCATTCAAGTTATCTATAGACAGGAAAAACAGAAAAGGAGAATAAAATCTAAACCTTGGCATTTTTAGGGACTTTCTAAAAAGAGAAATTTACTAGTTCTTGCTGTAGGATGAAGCTAAAATCTAATAAATTTAATTTTTTATGTTTTTAAAGTGAATGAATGTATAATTGCTTTATGTGTTGTTCACTTTCAAAGGAAAATAATCTACCAGGTTCTGTCTTGTGCTGGAAGCTAACCTGGCATTTGAGTTGACCCTAGGTGTCCAGCTTAGCTGTACACGATTCACAAAAACTTGTTACTGAGTTTAGTATTAATTTAATATTAACACACGATTTATGTAAACTCCCTCCCCCTTTCAAACTACTTTGTCCTTAGGTCTCTATCACTATCAACAAATAAAACCAACCACAGACCGTCTCCCGTTTCCTGTCATTACAAACAGCTTCCTCCCTTTCTTTATTTCCCTTTGCTTCATTTCCTGCTTACTCACTCCCATGTCCCTTAATCAGCTGACCTTTTCTCACACCTACTAAATAAGAGATGAAAAGGGACTAATGATTTATCAAGTGAATAATAAGCAACTATGAAAAGAACTGTCAGTTTAAATCAATAAAATTGATTTTACTTTTCATTATTTTTAAAATTGATGGGACACAGTGATATGCTGAGCTCTTTTGTTTTCCTGAGGATCAGTGTCCACATGCCTCCCTCTGTCCTGGCCATGCCATTCAAACATGCATGGCGTAGTTACCTGAGGAGCGCCATACATGTACAGCACAAGGGGGTCTTGCTTGGGGATCACACACCATATTTTCTGCCAAGGTTTTGACTTCTCCATGTACTGGAGAAAACTGCACACCTCACTATTTCCTGATACTTCTGCAGATTCAATCTAGAAAACACAATGGAAAGAATAAACATAATAAATCAGATAGGGATGAAACATGCCTTAAGGAAATATTTATAAAGCACAGTGCATTTATATAACACATCTTGAGTCGCCCTCCAAAAAGATGTATTTGCATTTACTAGTTTTTCTCTATTGTAAGATGAAAACCTATTGAGGTCATCTTTAACTCTGTATAGCTTAGTAGACTTTGTACTTAGTCAACATTTACTGATCATTTACTATAGACTTTCTTTTTGCTTGAGATGTGTATTATTCACACCAACACTGAGAAGTTAAGTGCTTTCACTGTTTCTAAAGCTCAGAGTTTTTAATCAGATTCCCCAGGAATTACAAATTTAGAATTTGGTGTGCTCAAATTTGAGCTCAGTCAGCCTGAATCAAGACATTAAGCCTATGGCCCTAATGTTCCAATAAGGCAAGAATATAAAGTAAAAAAGACAAGATATGACCAACAACCCTCTGTCCTCACAGGTTGTAATTAGAAGCGATGACTGATAATTCTCTGCCCTCACAGGTTGTAATTAGAAGCTATGACTGATAATCCTCTGCCCTCACAGGTTGTAATTAGAAGCGATGACCAACAACCCTCTGTCCTCACGAGAAGCATCTCACTAAAACAAACCTGTGAAAAGCAACTTAGCTTTCTGCTTTGCTTACTAGTAGATTAAGTACTAGATAAATGGGAAACACAAATATTTAACTAAAATGCTTTATTAGAAGTAAACTATTTTGCTTCTATTCCTATGCAAAAACCTTAGGGTAGTGCTACTCAATTTTGTTCAGAGGACACAATGATGTAAGAGGGATAAGGGCGTGCACATATACAGGTAAATGTACTGTGGAGCCTTACTTGTGCCAACTAATACGTGCTCAGAACAGTAGTCAGTAAACTTTTCTATGAAAGGTCAGAGTTCAAATCAAGACTATAACATAGGTACTTACACAAAGAAAGCAAACAAACAAACAAACAAAAAAAACAACCAAACAGCTGCCCCCCAACCCCCACCAAAAAGAAAGCAAACAAATCCCCACTGTTTTATTTATAAAATTAAAAATAGTTTTTCATATGTAGCCTCTTATATAATATGGGTCTAGCAATAAAAGTGTAAGTCATCAAAAAACAAAACAAAACAAAAACAAAACAAAACAAAACAAAAAGTTTTGGGGAAATGTAACATTTTTCTTCTCAAGCTCTTCAAACTACAACACACAAACCAGGCATGGTGCTGCATGCTTATATCCCAGTACTTGGGAGGTAGAGGGAAAAGGATCAGAGGTTCAAGGTCACTCTTGGCTAAAATGAAGGCCAGCTTAGGCTTTGTGAGACACTGTCTCAAAACAGCAACAAAACAACAAAGGAAAAGCTATTGGTTTTTTGAGGGTACTTGTGGTAGTTAATCTTGACTGTAAACCCATGTGGACCTGGTATTAATTAACTAAGACACAAGGTCTGCTTGGGCACTTCCAGGAATGACCAGACAGAGAAGACCCTTCTCAGATGGGAAGCAGCTCAGACACTGCAAGGCCAGAGGAAAGGAGTGCTGCCCGGCTGCCTCCTTCCTGTGGGTGAAGGCATGTCTCCCATGGTTGCAGTTGTCACTTTTTGCTGACTTTGGAATCTATCTTCTTGGTTTCCAACCTGAGCTCAAGGTCAGCACCTTTCTAAGAACTGCCCAGGCCTTCAATGCCAAACCGGAACTGTCAAGGTCATGAACTGTATAGCTATCAGGTTCTCTCAGCCTCTTCATTAATGTGTCATAGACATTCATTTTACTAGTTCTGTTCCTCTAGAGCAGTGGTTCTCAACTTGTGGGTTGTAATCCCCTTGGGGGTTGAAGAATCCTTTCCTAGGGGTCACCTAAGACCATTGGAAAACACAGATATTTTCATTATGATTCATAACAGTAGCAAAATTACAGTTATGAAGTAGCAACAAAAATAACTTTATGGCTGGAGGTCATCACAACATGTGGAACTGTATTAAAGGGTCACCACATTAGGAAGGCTGAGAACCACTGCAATAGAGAACTCTGATTGAGAGTGCATGATTATTGATTTTCATGGATAAGTGATGATTTGGGATATACTCAAGGTGTGGCCTTAGGTAGTTTAAGAAGCATCAACCAAATAACAATCTGCAAGTCAGCTCTAGTCTACCACTGTGCTTTGTATGTCCCATAAGCCAATAATTTAACAGATGAATATTTATAACCAACTTGATGGAAACACCATCCAACCTCAAAAAGGTTATAAATCCAGATTATAAAAATTCATATACTAAACAATATATTTTGGAATGTTTCTTTTTTTTCCTAAAAAAATCTGAACAATGGTGTAGCAGTTTGAAAGGACAGAAAGAAGCTTACAGGGTTGGGGAGATGGCTCAGCAGGTGACTACCCTGCAAGTGTGAGGACAGGAGTCCTGGCCCCAGAAACCCACATAAATGCAGGTGACATGGTGATCTGCCTGTGCTCCAGCCTTGGAAGGCAGAGACAGGGGACTCCCAGGAGCAGGCCGGTTAGCAAGACTAGCCACATCATACTTGTGAGCTCTGGGTTTGTTTGAGAGGCCCTGTCCCCAGTGAGTAAGGTGGAAGAGCAATTGAGGATAATTCCTGATGTCATCCTTGGGCCTACAATACGCACGAACACACATGTGCACATATACCTCAAAACATGTGTCTACACACATGCAAGAACATACAGACACACAAACACAAAAGAAACATACAAAAAGTGGAAAAAGAATTTACAAATATATGGAGTTAAATATCTTAAGTTTTGTCAATAAAAAATTGTTTTCTTCCTTAAAATACCTCTGTAAATCCCTGTTTTGGCCTCTTGGCCTATAAAAAATGTTTCCTCTGAACTGCTTACAAAAAGCTTAACTATTGTTCTAGAGTATATAGTATATTAGCTGGCGCAGGATAAGGGCTCAGACATGCTCTATGTGTGCATGGGCATGCTTATTTTCTACTTCCAGACATTTTTTTGTTTGATTACATGAATTAATCCAATTGATGATTTCTCCCCAAGCATAAGATTTTCTAAAAAGCCAAAGATTTTTTATTTTATAGAAGCAACCAAAATCTTTTCTCTAAAAAACACAGTATCAGGTTCACTATACTTTGTCACACTAGTCAGTTATTCCTATTAAAGCCTTAAGGTTGTAGTCCTGTGATCCAATGAAGAATATCCTCTCCATTCCTCCTGCCCATGAAAGCCTCATCTTTATGCAATACCAGTAATAGCTATATCCTAAGAGAATTTAGAACTACAATTGTAGCTTGTGGGCTTACAATATAACCTCAAATGGACAATGAAGTTTAAGATCCTTTCTCAGCTAACAAATGACTTTTGTATATTTTCTTGTAAATGCTCAGTACATAATTACTGACTTTTCAACATTATTAAGAAACTAAGTGCCGGGCGGTGGTGGCGCACGCCTTTAATCCCAGCACTCGGGAGGCAGAGTCAGGCGGATCTCTGTGAGTTCGAGGCCAGCCTGGGCTACCAAGTGAGTTCCAGGAAAGGCGCAAAGCTACACAGAGAAACCCTGTCTCGAAAAACCAAAAAAAAAAAAAAAAAAAAGAAAAAGAAACTAAGTATATTTATGGCTTTGGATGAAAAGAAGTTTAATCCTACCTTTAGGTGATCCTGACCTTCCACCGTAAGATCTCATTATACAAATTACCCTTATTTTGCCAACACATCTTACCATGTAAACCCACTTCAGATACAGGGTACTTTAGTCTGAATTAACTCTAAAATGTGAGTCATATTTACTGGAGATGGGCTTTGACAGTGATGTAGTCATGAAACTGTTGCCCCTGGCTATTAAATCACCACAAAGAACTGGTATTTAACACAGCAAGCTGAAGGAGTGTTTTAGGTAATAAAACAGTACTTTATCCAAATTTGAAAATTTTCATGCAGTGGTTTTCAACATTAATATATGATGAAACTGAAAGCTTCCCACAAAGAAGACATACACACATCTGTCCATCTTACTTTCTATAATTAGGCAGGAGTCCAAGGCCAACAAACTAAGTAAAATCATGACTCTTGCCCACTGTTAGCCTGGGTGCTAATGCAACAAGAATAAATAAGCACATTGTCTGTGCTCCTTATGACCAGGAGAGTGTTATCTAAAGATACAAAGAATTGACTAAGTTTACCTCCAAAATCCCTTTTCTTTTCTTCTCTTCACTGTCTGTGAATCCACTTATTATTTGGTAACAGTCTTTGCAGACTTTGTTCAATCTTCCACCATCATACTCAAGCTGAGCTTTGTAGTCAGAACATTTCCAACAAACCACCTTTAATTATAAAAAAGTATATTCAAAATGAATAATTATACTTAAGACAATTAGGAAATATTCATACATACATGATAAAGTTAAATATAAAAGTTACATTTTTATTAGCCTAAGAACATTTCAAAACATGTTAAAATATTGATGTATTTTAATAATGTGTGTGGCAGAATCTGAACATCACTTTGGCCTCTAAAGTTCCCTTGCCATGGATGTACCATCCATCCATCTCCTCTCATAGTCCCACGTCTCACAGGAAACAGCACAGCCATCTAACAACCTTCAGAACATTTCCAATGACTACTCACCTATCTTCACAGATGCATCATATTGTATCCCACTGACTTTAACTTCTAAAGGTATTTCTTCAGTCTGTTTTCGAAGTACAAGTTACTAGCACTCACATTCGGACTCTTCTAGTCTGACTGGTCCTCACCACATCCTTAGGCTCCATCCTAACAGTCTACGAGAATCTGTTTTCCAAATAGTGGCTAGAAGGCTCTCTTTAGGTAGAGTTTGATACATTCCTCTTACATTGAAAAATCTTTCAGTCTAAAACCATGTATGGTGGTGCATGTTTTAAGTGCCAGCACACAAGAGGTAGAGGTAGAGGCAGGAGGATCTCTGTGAGTTCAAGACCAGCCTCGTCTACATAGAGTAGCATTCTAGGACAGTGAGAGCTAGACAATAGGCTTTGTCTTAAAAACAACAACAAAAAAAAAACAAAACAAAACAAAAAAAACCTTCAGTTTTTCCTTTGTTTCTGGTTAAAGAAAAATTATTATAATCTATGGTGTCCTGTGTGATCAGTCTGTCTTTAATGACACTGGCTCTCATATCCCCAAAGCACTATGCTCCCTTCCTCCTCCTTCTCCTACAGCCCAGAGCACCATGCCCCCTTTGTCTTCCATCTCCTACAGTCTTGGAAGTCTCAATTTCCTTCTCCCTCCTTCTGGAAGACGATTCCTTCAGTGTTTAGAACAGAGCCTGACTTGTCACTGCCACTAAAGTTCCCTTTCATTTACAGCACTGAATAGTTTTTAACTATAGATCTGTATGACTGTTTGTCCATTTCCTATAAACTCTACAGGAGATTGTTATGGGTTACTTTGCTCACCACACACAACAGTTGCAGAATGTCAATGAGTAGATTACAATAATGCAAATGCATGTGAGTGAATCAATGCTGCTTTTCAAATTATTTTAATCGTCTAAAAATTTTCTAGGTTTAAGTAATTGTTTTTTTTGTTTAGGAAATTCCCTAAACATTTCCCTCATACTTATAGTAGATAAAATCTATTTAAAAATGCATGATCTTATAAGTAAAAAATATGGAGTAGATTCATAGCAGTTGAAATATACCCAAAAATGGTCAAGGGCTAAGGGTGTGGCTCAATGGTAGAATACAGACTTAGTATTCAAAGTCTCAGGTTCAATTTCTACCCAACCTTGATAAATACCACAGTTTTTTTCATAATTATAACAAACTTACTTAGAATGTTTTGTGCTAGACATACATGTATCTGTAAACTCAATTCAAACTCAATTTTATATTCAAATCATATCATCATATTTGATAATCCAAATGCAAGCTATTTTTATCTGTTGACCAAAGTTCAAGTATGCCAGTACCGGAAATCATTTTAAGCAAACTTGAAGATCAATAGTTTATTCTGAGATAGATGTTTGCCACTGATTTAGTTTTGATTACAATCTGCCTCAATATTTTTTTTTTTTTTTTTTTTTTTTTTTTGGTTTTTCGAGACAGGGTTTCTCTGTGTAGCTTTGCGCCTTTCCTGGGACTCACTTGGTAGTCCAGGCTGGCCTCGAACTCACAGAGATCCGCCTGGCTCTGCCTCCCGAGTGCTGGGATTAAAGGCGTGCGCCACCACCGCCCGGCAATATTTTTAATATAAGTGTCAGGAAAAGAGATGAAAGAAATTTTTAGCATAAAGGAGAATAAGCTAAGAGTTATCTATCAAAATTGTTGTGTTTAACATACAAATAACATTAGATCATAACATGTTTACTCAATCTTAAGAAAAAGAGTGCAGTGCTCAACTTGGTTTATAAGGGCCCCTCTAAAGCTACTACTCTCCCCTACCCTGTTAACTTCATTTCACACATATTCCAAATGAAATTCAGTTCAGTGCTTGGCCAAATTATGCTCTAATTATGTAACATTACATAATTACAAATATACAAATACATATTTGTTTTTATATGTTAACAATGTAATTATTAAGTTACAATCAGAAACACCTCTTAGATAAATGCCTTACTCAGAAAAAAGATATGTTTATACTGCTACTACTGATAGACCATATAAAAGTCATAGATGGAGTAAATGCCATTACTAAGCATACTTTCATTCTTGCTTTTCTCTACCAGACAGACTTCATAGCTAGTTCTCTGAGAAGCTTTCTGCCATAGTAGAACTAGATTATGGATACAAAGCAAATGCAGTTTTAATGGTTCAGTTTTTTTGAATTAAAAATGGCTCTTCAAGGTACAAAAAATGAAACAGAGCTATTCAGTAAATAAATAAATTAGAGAAAAAACAGTGAATTGAAACTGTAATGTTATGCTAAAAAGGAAAACCCAGTCGGGCGGTGGTGGCGCACGCCTTTAATCCCAGCACTCGGGAGGCAGAGCCAGGCGGATCTCTGTGAGTTCGAGGCCAGCCTGGGCTACCAAGTGAGTCCCAGGAAAGGTGCAAAGCTACACAGAGAAACCCTGTCTCGAAAAACCAAAAAAAAAAAAAAAAAAAAAAAAAGGAAAACCCACATTTAATAGGTGGAGAAAGTCCTTGGAGCTTGACTGACATAGGAGAGGGGAATCTGAGACTTAGTCATTATTCTAGAATGTGCGAAAGAAGCATAATGAAGCACCAACCAAATGCTGGCATGCAGTTACAGGAGAGCTACATCGAAATGAAGCAACCAAAGCAAACAAACCAACAAAAACACCAGAAAGCACAATTGGAAACCACTGGCAAGAGGTTTCTCCTAGTCAATGCTTCTTCAGACACTGGTATTACTGAATACACGTTCTAAAATACATATTCCAAAACAAGAAATGTTTGAGCAAAACAAACTGTTAACTAACAAAAACTACTGGGTAGATTGAGAAGAAAACACAATTTAGAAATAAAAATTATTCAAAGAATAAATAAAGCAAACAAGCTACAGCTGAGGAGAATGAAGGAAAGAGCAGTGAGACACACCTCTGTTTTCCTACCACTTGTGTCACTTCTGGTTCCTTACACATCCAGTCACCAGACCCTCACGTTGAGAGCTACCCTTGGGTACTCCTTATCCTCCCCACTACTTAAACCAGTGTTTTCCCTATACTTCATGCACGTCACTTAGGTTTGCTCTTGACCTGGTCTCCAACTACCTTTCTAGCCCCAGCTCTTGCCAGTCTCCTTTCTAGTGTTTACTCCAAGGCCAAGTAATTCATGTCCACCTCAGCAAGCAACCTGTCACACTCAGTATGCTGACTGACAGGCAGCCATGCCACCAAAGGAAGTAGCTGGTACCACAGTACTAGGTTTGCTTACCCATTCTCATCTCAGAGACAAACAGAATTAACTCCATTGTGCCTCAGTTTCTGCTTAATTTCTCAGCCTCACCTCTGTAAATACTGCTCTGTTTATAGAATATACTAAGAAAGTCTCTTATTTTCTCTCTGCTTCTTAAAGTGTGAAACCATCATTCTAGGATCAAACTCTTCTTTACCTTCAAGTAGAGGGTGATTTCCTATTAGCTCACCAATTACTTCTGTGGACTTCAGCATTGAGACCTGGGCCTTTCAATCTTTGGCTCTTTTCTTGTTTTCAAAAGCCCATAGCACTTTTGAGGCTTGCCATTGGCTCTACCCATCTCTCACACTCAGCTATTATCTCATGATCTATCTAGCTCAGTCATTTGTAAATTTGTTGCCAATGTGTTATAACTTATAGGAAAGGGCAGATTCATAGAAAAGAAGCCGAGATGAAAATGTCCTTCCAAAGAGCTTGATTAGAAGAATTAAAACATCATGGCCATAGGCAGCCATGAGAGACTGAAGTAGGAGAGCACAGGGACAGTTGTAATACCATGTATAGCACAATAGGGGTCTCCAATCCCAAAGAACAAAATTGTGTGTCTTGCTCTTACAGGTTTTCTTTCATCAGGGGCAATAGGAGTAAGAGTAGGTGAGTGAGGGGAGAGGGCATGTAAGTTCCACACCATGTGATTTAACCTACATGCTGGAAGTCGCAATGCACTAATAAAATTAAATTTAGAATTCAACTTTGTCTTAGAACTCTTAGGGAGAGGACTCAACTCTTGAGAATTGCAATAGTAGCTCTCAGCAGTGAACCAAGGGGCGGGGGGAGCGCTAGAGGATCTGTGATCTAATGTGATAGAAAATACCATTATTTTACTCCACTGCCTGGTGTTTTTAGCATTCATGTGACACCTTATTGACTCAGGCTTTTTAGGTGTCTGCAGCCAGTGCCAGTTTCAGGCCGTCTACTCTAGCCTTTTGTTCTTGGGCCCCTCCACTGAACAACTGTATGTATCATCACCAGGGACTTCAGTGCCAACTTCAAACATCTGTCCTTTCTTCGCCAACGTGTCTAATATTTCTAACTTGCTCACAGCTGTTCACTACCATGTAGCTTTGAACAACATAAATCTTACTTTCCATGCACTAGCTCTCTTGTTTCTAACATTTAGTCATGACTGCCCTTATTTACCTACGGCAGACACCTACAATTCTTCCTTACTTTTTTCATTAAACTTATTCTCTGTGAACCTTGTTCTCTGCCTTCTCTGGCCTGCATTGCTAGATTCTGTTGTTAAAAAGAAAAACCAACCAACTAAACAAATACAAAAACCATTGCTGTTAAGCTGACTAGTATCTGTTTGGATTTCTAACTAGAAATTTTCAGAGGATAATGAATCCACGCGTGTCTCTGTCAGATAAGACTATTTTATACTTAATCCTCTTTCTTGACTCTCACAGACATCCTCGTCTCTTTACTTTCAGTTGATCATTCTGTCCAAGTCAATAAAAATGTAATACGGACCTCAGACGCCCTCATTTCTCACTCTAACAGGCCCCAAACAGCGAACCCACCCAGTTCGCTTCCCCCCGGACTTGCTCCTGGGTTCCTCTCTTCTGGTAAAAGAGAGGGCTTTGCCCTACACTGCAACTTTCACTTGTACTGCGGCTTTCATCACGTGCCTTTTCAACCATATTGCTTTCTTTGATTATTATCACTTTAACTACATCTGTGCCATTTTTTTTTCTTAAATTGTACCCAGCTACAGGCTTTCCTTAGCAACTTCAGGGCTGTCCTACTGCAGAGATGTAGGTACAGCTCCTTGTGTGCAAAGCACCTCTTGCTTCCGCTTTAGGATGAAGACATTCTCCCCTTTTAGGCATCTAAGCAAATATCAGTCTCTCAGCTAGGCCCTCTTTTGTCTAATTAGATCTGGTCTGAAATCTTCCATTACTAATACTTTCCAATTCAACTTTCTGGTTGCTTTCTTATACCATTCATACTAATTTGAATTCTTATCTATTTTCTTCTTCACAATGTAATCTCCATGAAGCCAGGACATTTTTGCTCACCATATTCTTTTTCTTCATGGGACAGCACAGTACTTTGCACACAATTAGCTCCAAAACAGGCTTACTGAATGATTGCTAATGATTTCTTTGTTTCACGCTGATGATTTTACTTCAGCTATATAGTCACCAGCAACCGTAAGGACCAAGAACCGCACTCACATGTCCACACGCCCGGCAGTGATGTCGTCTTCTTGTTAGTGCATTGAAGGACTCCTTGCACTTCATGCACATTGTCACTTCATTATCACGTATCCATCTTGGGGCTCTCTTTCCTAGCTCAGCAGTCTAAATGAGAGAGACAGGTTCACTTCTAATAGAAAAAAATACTATTCCTTTTAAATAGCATGTTACCAATGCTGTTCAAACCATGTTCTGATACTCAATATCTAGGAAAGGAAGTGAAACTTTCAAAGCACTTCAAGACACTTACCACTATATCCAGCTAAGAGAGAATGATATAATTTCTAAATCACCAATTCTGGTATTGCAAGGGAGAGGGTTTGTTAATAGAATGACTAGACAGTGTTTTTGAGAATACAGAGATAGAGGATCTTAAAGTTAAGAACTTACAGACACTTCTAGGTGCATGTCATTATCCTTTGCAATTGCATTTCTGAAGGTTTCATGCCTTTGTTGAAAAGCATCAATAGTCTCTTGAAGGGCCTAAAATGTAAATTAAATAAAACATACATTATAATATTGTATACACATTAATTAACATGCTTTGTCACATAAATAACTGTAATGAGAATCATCTTTAAAGTTAAATGAACTTGTTCTTATAGTATGTAATAAAAAAACCTAACTATGGCCAGGCGGTGGTTGTGCATGCCTTTAATCCCAGCACTCAGGATGCAGAGCCAGGCAGATCTCTGTGAGTTCGAGGCCAGCCTGGTCTACAAAGCGAGTTCCAGGAAAGGTACAAAGCTACACAGAGAAACCCTGTCTCGAAAAACCAAAAAATCAAAACCAAAACCAAAACCAAAAACTTAACTATGTGTATTTTTCTTTTTTAAAATTTATTCTATGGGTGTTTTGCCTGATGTATGTATTTTGTGCCACATGTATGCTTGGTGTCCACAGAGGTGAGGAGACACATTGCATCCTTGGAACTGGAGTTTGGGATGGTTGTGAGCCACCATATAAATCCTGGGAACTAAATCCATTTTCTGCAAGAGTAACAAGTGACCTTAACCACATGATATTTCTCCAGGCCCTGATGTGTACATTTCTTATGCAGAGAGGTCCAAAAAATGAAAATGAGAGTAAAAGAGTTACCTTGATCCATTCTTCTTTGTCTTGTTCAGAACTAAAAGAGAAACAAAGGAAAAAAAATGAGTGAAGAGAACATTAAGAATTACAACTTGTGAATGAAAGTATGTTTTAATGTTACTCTGGATTCCTATAAGACACAGGAATGCTTTGGAAATAATTAAAGAGACTCTAGTTTTTCTTAATACAGGACCAGACTGCGGTCTACCTTTGGTACCCACTCACTTTGATAGCAAACCATGGCATTAACAACCATGTCTAGCTGGACCTACCAGACAATTCTGTATGCTTGACATACTAGAAAATCAAAGATAATATTATAATTTTAAGAAAATATGACAACTAAAAACCACTAACATCTCAGGAAACATTATGATTATTGTTATAATCCTAAAAATGACCTGAATCTAGACCCAGATGGATTCACAGCAGAATTCTACCAGACTTTCAAAGAAGAACTACAACCAAAACTTGTTAAATTATTAAAGCAAAAAAATATCAAAATCAGGTAAACACACAAAAAAGAGAAAACTAGAGGCCAATACAGATGTAAATGAATACAGATGTAAAAATTCTCTCTTGTAAATAAAATACAGTTATATATCAAAAAGACTGCCCATCCTGATCTAGTTGGCTTCGTCTCAGAGATTTAGGTTTAGATCAATATACATGGTCAATAATGTAGTAAATCATATAAATGGACTTAAAGACAAAAATCATACGTTCAATAGACACAGAAAAAGCCTTTGACAAAATTTAACATGTCTTCATGATAAAAGTCCTAGAGAGACTAGGACTGGAGGGGACATATCTCAGTACAATATAACACTACAAACCCACTGCCCACATCCTAAGTGGAAAAAAACTCAGTGCAGGGATGAGCCTAGCTCTAGCAGAGAACCAGGTCTGTTCACTTTGCCTAGTAAGTTTCTTCTTCCTGTCCCATCCTTCACCACACCAGTCGCCATATCCACCCATAGCCTCACTGCATATCTATGGAACCCATTGTGTCCATGAATAACCTTTGACTGGTGAGACGCTGCTTTCCTCTTCCTTCTTTCCATCAACCTGCTGCCATCATTACACCACTGCCCGGCACCAGACCCATGGTTTGGGAGCCATCTTTGCTTGGTCAAGTAAACAGCTTATCCACCACCTTTATCTGGGCTAGCTCTTGTCATATAGCTCATGCACTGGCATAATCTAAGGAAGGCCAGATTCTCACATCAGACATGGAGTCCACATGTCCAGATCAAATTGCAGAAACAAACAAACAAACAAAAAATATGAATGGCCAAGGTAGCATGTCTCCTACCAAATCACTAGTCCCATAGAAGTGTTCTCTAATAAGAACTACCTAGATGAGTCCCCGGACATAGAATTTAAAGAAGATACTCCTTTGAACTCTAAGAGGATAACAATAAATACCTGTGTCATGTCCAAGGTAAACATACACACTAGAGAATAACAATACTTACCTGTGTCATGGAGTAATGCTAAATGGACTCAGGTTGTTTGTATATTTGTTCATGCACACTTGTGCTTGCACACACAAATATATTCACATATTTACATATACATATGCATCAAAGAAGAGTCCATGGTGAATTTGAGAGTATGGGACATGGGAGTAGTTTGAAAGTGGAGGGAACAGTGGGAGTGATGTAGATACAGTGCTCATGTATGAAGTTATAAAAAATAAAAACCCAAAATCTTTTGTTATTTATGATTAAATTAAAAAAAATAAAAGAAATCAAAAGATCTTTGCAAGGTCTTGAGGGAACCACTTGGCATTTCCTTTGCTAAACAATTCTGTTTGCCTCTTCCTTAAAGGCTCATGCAATGCCATACCTAACCTTACAAATGAAGGAGAGCATCAAACACTGTCAATCACGCAGGAAGGGGTTTCCCAGACTCACAGGCTAGAGAGTCTAACAATTTTCCTTGGGGGGTAAGTTTACTTCAACTTCCTTTTTGCATACTAAGGAAAAACTGCATTTCCTCTCCCTGTAGAAAGCTTATATCAAACTTGGAAAATCTCTTTGAGTGGACTCTGAATTAAGTCAGAACTTTAAACTGAGGGATTTTGAAGGATGTCAACATGTATGCACAATACTGGCAGGACGCAAAGACAGGGAATGTTAAAGTGACATGGCAGGAAAGCAAGCTTCTGACTCCAGAGACTGGTTGAAATGTTTTGCCAGCAGAGAAGCAAGGACTCCAGCAACATCAGCTGGTGAAGATCCTTTTCTCTTCCCACCTGTAAACCTACAATATTCTAAGAATCACCAGTTATAGGGAAATGTCATGTACCAAATCCCTTGTGCAGCCTAGGTGCCTGGGACTTGACTTCATCAGATTATAATTCCATTAAGGTATGTTTGAAGCCACCCTACATGTCACTTATTAGAAAACAAAGAAAGAAAAGAATAAAAGGCTTCTTACCACTTTCAAATGGCATAGAGAGTTAATGTTATGACACTCAGTTGGAAGTCTTGCTTGGGAAGCCCACACTTACATTTGGTTATGTTTTACTTTCTGTGACTTTTTTGAGAAACCCATGCCCATGCTCCTGTGTGTGTCTCCATTATTTTATCTCCATTACTTTTTAATAAAACCCAGCTCTGCTTTGTTCTGGTTAGTCTTGAATCTCTTCTGGTTGAAGCCATGAGTCCCAGTTTGGTATGAGCTGAGGTCCCTCAAACATTAGGAGGATTCCTTAGGCTACTGAGAGTGACAGTATGGGCCTGTGGCCCTGTCTTCTTATAGCTGATAGTCATCTTTCCAGCATTTATTTTTATTGAGCAGTATGACATTGCAGAAAAGGCTGGTGGGACCTCTGCCGACCAACATGGCAGACTCCACGTTATCTCCCATGGGGAGGCTTCAGTCAGCCTTGCTGTGTTTCCCAATTCCGCTGTTCTGGAAGTAAAATTATTTATCAGTCTTTAAAATGCAGACAAAGACTTTAGTGGTTTTTTTTTTTTTTTTTTTAAAGTCAGGAAAGATTTATTTACTCTTTTGCTTAATTTACTTGTTACTATATTTAAATTTTCTATTTAGCAACCAAAAATCATTGTCTAAAACCAAATGAAATAGAAACTGTCTAAAAACTAAAAAAAAAATACTTTTTATCCTTTTTGTTTGTTTATAGCTATAAGATATTACAAAGCATTAAATTAATAGATGAAGAATGCATATTCACTTTGGCTCAGTAAAGTCAATTAATTCCAGCAAGTAGTTCATTTGAAAATCCATCTCACTAAGTCTGTACTTCCCATTTCTTAGATTGGTAGGATATTTTACTACAATCAAGCTCATTTACTGTACCTTCAGTGTGCAAGCATCCTTCTTATTTACAAATATTTTGAGCCAGTTTTCATCAGTATAAAAACTCTGACTTCGCATCTCCATTGTAAAGAGAGATTTTGATTTTAATGTTTAATTCACTTGAAGTGACCATCACATGTATGACTAGTGTTTGTTTGAAGTCTATTTTGTTTGAAATTAGAACAGCTGTGCTGCTTGTCTCCTGCCTCCACTGCTTGAAACACCCCTTTCCATCCCTTTCTGAGGTCGTGTCTATCTTTGATGTGAGATATGTTTCTTAGTGGCAGCAAAAAGTTGCATCTAGCGTTTTCTAATCTATTCTGCTAGTCTGTACATATTAGGGGGAAATAGAACATTAATATTCAGAGTTATTATAGTGCATATTAGTTCTGGTTATTTTGTGCTTTATATTTTATTTGCTTAACTCTTCTAGAATTGTTTATTTTTCTCCAGTGGCATTTTAGAGGTGTTCATCCTCTTCAGTCTCAGGTGTTACTTTTAGCACATTGGGTTAAGGTCATAAATTATATTTGCCTTTTTTAAAAATATAGAACTTTTTTCATTTTATTGGAAATAGATTCTATTTTTTTTCTATTTGCCTTCTTTTAACATGGAAACTTTTTTCTTTTTCCTTCAATACATCAGACAGAGTCGGGCTTAGCAGCTGTTGTCTTTCAGAACTTGAAATACGTATTTTTAAGCCTTTTTCCTTTTAAAAATTTCTGTTGAATAATCAGCTATTGGCCTTTCTGTAAATGTGACTCCTCTTCTTTCTCTTGCAGCTTTTGTATTCCTTTCTCTGTCCTGCATATTTGGTCATCTGACTGAATATGATGTGGGGGTATCTGCAGGGGGCCATGGGAATGTACAAGTCAGTTATGTCTGGTGCCTGATACAGGTTTTTGTAGAAAATAATCAAGGAACCTGTGTAGGGGGAAGAGAGGCAGGTTTCTCTGGAGTTGTCCAGAGTGTGGCAATTTCCCTGGGGATTGTACATAAGAGAGAATCCTGTAATGGTCTCCACAAAGAGGTTCTCACTCATCTGGAGCTGCAGTCTGACCAGAGACTGTCAGAGAAATAAGGGTGAGTAATCATAGTTTTTTTTTAGAGAGGTAGTTATTATAGAGAGAGTTGTCTAGAATATGACAATTTCCCTGGGGATTGTACATAAGAAGAGACAATCCTCTAATCATAGTATTTTAGTTTCCTTATGCTCTTTCCCTCAGAATGAGTCAAACAGAGTTTAAAACAGTGCTGGTATACAGAAACAGGAAGAAAACACATGTCTCTTACAACATTTCCAGAAAGGAAAGAGTTAACTTGCAAACTGCTTGCTGCTTGGAATTCAGCTTGCAGCAGCAAGAGATATCAAGCAGCTTGGCTATCTGCCTGCATCCTAGCAAAAATCGTTATGCCAATTGGAAATTCAAAAAGAAGATTTCCTCATTTCACTTCTATCTCAACCCTCGACACCAGTTCCTGAGAAATTAGATAGAAAAAAGACAAGGAAGACATAAAAATAGGAAGGTTTAAGTAAGTCGTGAAGGTTTGAGATGTGATTTTAAGATGTAAAAATATGAAGGCTTAAGTCAGTCACGAAAGTGCTATTTTGGGTCTGGGGAAGTAGTCTGAGATATAAAAATGTGGAAATTTAAAGTTTAAGTAAGTTGTGAGGGTTTGAGTATGGGCAAAGTGAGGTCTAAGATG